CTCACAGGAACTGCACTGGACACGGTAGATGACATTCGCCGTTTTGCCTCGTGACAGAATAAACTTAAGTCTCATGAACAGATGCTTTATTGACACCCCAAGCCTGTGGGCGACGCCGATCTTCAGTTGTTTTAAGGGAAGAACGACTGCTTAGGATATGCTATAGATATATGGCAATGCTCGTCGCACGTTTGGCTGATCTATCGTTGGCCTTATAGCTCTCTTCGGTTGTCTGCCAAGTTCAATGAAGCTGCGAGAATAAAGGTAGAAAATTAACATCTACCGCAGATAATGGAGTTCGACTGGGGTTCGTCAGCCTCTTAGCAATGAGTGTCCGCTCTTCTGTAAATAGTTTTCACTCAGTTACGTTTGTGACACAAGGGGTGGTTACTGTTATAACTAAGAACGGACCTGTTAGTTAGAACTCCACGCCTCTAAACACTGGCCAATCAGCCGTTGCCCTGTCGGTTTCGATTGGGAATATACAATGGTAGGGAGCGCTCACCGATCGTTCATACGGAACTCAGTCGTTCCGTTGTGCCTTATGGACTCTCTCTCAAGCCCAAAGAGCAGCCGCACAACAGCGCACGACATATAGACAGAATGGTATTACCGACAAAGACGAAGGAGACTGGAATGACCATTTCTGGCTTATTAGCCGTCGTCAGCCAGCCATACACAAGCCCGAAGTGTGGAACACCCGAGACTCGAACTCGCGACCTGTTAGCTAGAAGTCCTCGCCTCTAACCAGTGGCCCACCAGCCCGTTGCCCTGTCGCTTTCGATCGGGAATATACAATGGTAGGGGGTGCTCACCGATCGTTCTTACGGAACCCAGTCGTTCCGTTGTGCCTTAAGGACTCTCTCTCTCTCGGGCCCAACCAGCAGCCGCACAGCAGCGCATGATATATAGGCAGAATGCTCTTACCGACAAAGACAAGAGAGACACTTTGGGCTTGTGTGTGGCTGGCTGACGACGGCTAATAAGCCAGAAGCGGCCATTCCAGTATCCCTTCTCTTTGTCGGTAATACCCCTTCTGCCTATATCATGCGCCGCTGTGCGGCTGCTAGTTGGGCTCGATAGGGAGCCGGTAAGACACAACGGAACGAGTGAGTTCCGTTAGAACAATCGGTGAGCGTCGGCTACCATTGTGTATGTACATATATATGGTAGTAGTGCGTTGACTGCTTAGGTTACTTGACGCTTATCCTCTTGTGCATGTCTCGTATCCCAGTCTGTGAGCGCTCTTTTACCACTTTTCCTATAACATCCGACAGGATGACCAGTCCGTGCCTTAATGCATAGAATGTTGGAATTTCCAAATCTCGATAGCCAATGTGTGCTCAAATCACATGCACGCCAAATCCGAGGTTTTGTCAGGTTGCATGACGACGGCCACGTCGATAAAGACGACTGCCACTACTAATAAACCAGAAAATGTCATCCTAGTCGTCCTTTTATTTTTCGGTAGGCTCTTAAACCTCAAATCAACATCTTGATTTACCTGGTCCATGTTGACCTAAAAAACTACTGTCAAATCTGTGTTAGCTATTTTCGTGAGCTTTTTCGCTCTCATCTAGAGAAAGTTGCGCATTTACGCAAGCTTTGTCTTCGATAGTTCTTTGTAAAGGCCGTCGCCCCGATTTAAGTGAATGTCGAATTTGTGCAAGATAAATTTTTTTCGCAACATGTCAATGCAATTAATGAAGATATTTTTTGTGTACAAGTCCCTCTATTCATTGGCATTTCAGACGTCTTGTTCCATCGAGTGCTCTGTCTACGGTAATAACTGCGCCATTTAATTACGAATGCCGCTTTCCAACCCGAACGTGTTTCCTAACTGGTATTTAGTTCCCGTATGCTTCCGTGTTGGGCATAGAATTCATACCGATCGGTTTCACCTTGATCGCATTCCAAGCTCCAACCTGTTTTGTATTTTCCATTCCCTCTTAATTTTAATTAATCGCTCAGACATGCAGACGAGAAACTGGAATTACCCACACAGTGCGTCATTCCATCCTTCAGCAAAAAAAATTATGTTTTCTGGCCTTTAAATTGTGTCACACTTCTGAAAAAAATATCCTCAAAGAAGATAACTGATCTGAAAAATTAGCTGAGAACTTTCAGTTTGGTATTTTTTTAAAAATCTTGTTTTCGTTTTCAGTCATTGTTCAAGTAGCACATTGCCAAAACATCTTCTAGTATAAAACTTCCAACTACCGCCTAGACGGATCAACGCCTTCGTCTTACCTGCCTGCAGTTGTAATAAACGCCGCAAGATGTGGCTTGCAGTGTGCATCTTCGCAGCCTGTTTTCTGTGGACCACTGTACAAGGTATATGCCGATATTGTGTAGTAACTAAATAATTGAGGCTTGATTTACGCGCTCTAAAGGAGAACGTATCCATCATCATTTTGCTGTTGTATCTTCTCAAAAACGTCTCTTTGGGCATTGCCCCGACATGGCGTTTTGAACGGATAGACTTTTGATAACGGTTTCCTTCGTTGATTGCTTATAAACGAGTGTTTTACGTTCCAGGCGAGGAGGTGATTCTAGCTAACGGGCTGCCTACAGAATGCGGAAAACGCCCACCTCTAGAGAAGACATATGCTGATTTCAAAAAACAAAAAACTGAAGCCATACCAAACAGCTGGCCGTGGCACGTAAGTCAATGAAACTGGCAGAGGACAAATTCACGTTTTCTTACATTTCACCCCTGGTTGCTATTCTAAAGTTAATAAACTCTAATACACCAGGTGTGATAATGGAAAGTTAAACGCCTTCAAAAACTGAACATGATCCACTTATACATGTTTAATATAAACGAAGCCATGGTAATTTTCACACGCATTATGACAATTTTAGTTTATAAGATAGTATTTAACTTACAACGCGTGGACTATAATTAATTTTACGCAGCTTTTTTAACTTTTAACTTGTCGCTCACTGCATTAAATCGTCCACGAATAGTGTGGCAAAACGCCCAAATGAAACCAGCGACCGGTCCGATAGGATGTTAGCCGAAATTCTGAAATGCGTTTTCGATTAGGGAAAACTACATAAGTGGAATTGTAATACTGATTATCATACAACGTAAATCCAAAATATGTCAGACATATCAGGAGTTTGGCTTTTAAATTCGTATCCTTTCGGTCGCCAGAAAAACTTCATCCGGCAAAAATGGTTACTGATGTGGTAGGAATTTCTTGTATTGATTTGCCGTGTCCGCATAAACTTACATACGTTTTATAAAAAAGGAACATGCGCAAAAACCCCCATTCTTATACTTGTTTGGCAGAAAAGCGCTACTTTTTTAAAGGAAGAGCACAAATAAAGGGTATATTTGGTCTTCCCAAGGGTTTTCCACTCCCGAATGTTTGTGAACCTTATCTTCCTTTACAGTTATGTTCAGGACTGGCATTACTAACAAAGACGAGAGAGAATGGAATGGCCATTTGTGGCTCAGTAGCCGTCGTCATTCAGCCATACCCGAATTCGAAGCGTGGAACACCCGAGGCTCGAAATCCCAACCTGTTAGTTAGAAGTCCACACCTCTAACCGCTGGGCCACGTGCCCGTTGTCTCGTCGGTTTTCGATCGGGAATATTCACTGGTGGAGTGGCACTCACCGATCGTTCTTACGGAAGTCCCTCGTTCCGTTGTGCCTTACGGGCTCTCTCTCGAGCCCAACCAGCAGCCGCACAGCAGCGTCACTCTACCAATGTTAAGGATTTTCATTGAATAACCTGTATACCTATCACAAAACGGAGCTAATACACGCCTGCATGCCATTAAGAAGACGATCTATGGGTTTCGTAAAAATATACAGTGGATGTGCATCATGTCGCATACTTTATGAGAAGCATTGGTATGCATATAGATACGAGGATACTGAAATGGGCTTCGCATTGTCTTAGGAAACCTTGCAATTATAAAATTTTAAGACCGAAAGATTTCACGCTTCAGATATAAGATGTGAAGATGTGATTTCCTGCTGAATGTGTACAAAAAAATATTTCTGCACACATTTCCCGTAGAATGCGTCTGAATTTATCTGGGAATGAAAGCCGATGGTAATATGCATACTACTCAAGTAGTCACCTTTACTGGGTGCGGTGCTTGCAGGCAGCCGAATAGAAGAGCATTCAAAAGCTAACATACTGTGGTGCCTAGAATATTATGGAATAATGTTAAATGATTATCACCATCTCGAACCCATTTAAATAACGTTTCCCAATCGGAAACGGATTTCGAAATTCCGGTCAACATTTCTAAACATCGGTCACTGATTGTAAACAAACCTCTTGATTCATAAGAGAACCTTAAAAATCCTCTTGCGTTTTCATCAAACTAAACTCTACTGTTAATGACGTGGCTTGGATGTTTACTGTAGAGGAACTCCCAGCTCATCTGCGTGGGTTCCCTGCCAACACATGGCCCCGGGGGCCAGACGGGGCCAGGCCCCGTCCAAATTTCCATCCTTTCTAATCACGTCATTCTGCATTATTTTAGACTGTTTTAGCTTTATTTTCGTTTAATATAAGCTTTTTAACTTGTTTAATGCGTTTTCAGTAGTATGACATCGAGAGAAATTCATGTTTCACAAAGGCAAATATTGGCCTTGTTTAAGTCGGTCATGTACATACCCTGCTAGCACCAGCCCCGTCTGGCCCCGTCCTCGAAAAAAACGCGCAGGGGGACGCCACGCTCTCCGTGATATTAACCCCTCATTTACGTTACCGGTATTATCCCTTTCCTAGTTCTCCGCACAGTAGGTTCTACTATTCTACTTCTGGTCGATGAATACCCATAACCCTTACATTTGTTAAGTATTACCCACCCTCTTAATATAGTGATAGCTCCGATAAGTCAAACATGTCCCGAGGTCTACATGAACAAAGTCCATGGACAGCAAATATTGGCATATGGTAGTTTACTGAACATATAAAATAAAAAAAAGTGGAGTAGTATGTACAAAGGGCATATGTTCTGGTCAGTCAATTAAACTGCATTGTGTTGACGGAAGTTTTCATCCACGGCTGACTCCTATAAAAAAGAAACATAATTAAATAAATAATTCCTCTTGCTAGCAAATTTGGTAGTAATTTTGTTTTACTAAACGGCATGCGTGGTGTATCATTTAAGTTGCCCTAAGTAACTTTGAATTTACTTAGGTCAACTTAAATGAAAATTTCAGTTTATTAACTTATGGAATAAAAAAAATTGCCCGATAAATTATTTTGTCACAAATGCTTAATAAAAACATTTAGAGGGGATTAAAGGAATAATCAGCCATCTTTTTTGGTTAATTAGTCATTTATGTCCCCTGTAAATGTTTTGATCATGTATTTCTGTCAAAATAATGCCAGAAAATAATGATATAAATTTAAATCAGTATTAATTAATTTTAAAGTATATCAGAAAGAAGAATCCAGTAATTAGGCACAAGTCTTAATGCAAAAATTAAATATTTAATTTGCTGAACATAAGAAAATTATGCAAACTGGTTGACTAATTAATGTTAAATAATACTACTATTTAATAGAGGTAAGTAAAAATTATACTGAAAGTCACAGCATAGCCGGCTACATAGGAAATATTAAGTTACTCACTATGTCTTCAGATAATGTTTGCGAAAGGTCAAAGCTGGTCGCTGAATTTTCAAGGGAAACCTAAATCAATGTGTTGTAATAACTTGTTAGAAAAATCTGTACCATATCAGCAGTTCGGTGCCGTTTGGCTCGCCCTCCGCATCGGTCTCGGGTTCCGTGGAACCATTCAATAGCTGTTTGCCGAATTAATTCGGAATGGCAGCTACGGTACTGCTCATTGCAGCGTATTGTATCTGCAGGTGTTAGAAAAAAAACATAATAAACAGACCACCAAGGACGCTGAACAGCGGGCTCCCCACGAAAGACTGCTTGTCGTTGGAACCAGCCCAACAGAAACTTCGGCAGAGGGGAGGTCCTAAAAGGGCTGTCAGGAGATTACGTATGAACTCCTTTTCAGTCCGTCCTCCAACGGTGGACAAATGCTTTGCCTATACGCAGTATAGAGTGTCTAAGCTTGTTTACATACCGTTTCCTGCACAATCTCATTGTCCAAACTGATTTTCGTAAGGAAGTCTTTGTACGCTTCCGCAGTCCGCAGAGGCAGCTGCAGAAGGGGCGGCTTCTCTTTCGAAACAAAGCTCACTGCTTGCAAAGCTCGTCGATTGTCGCCTAGCATGGCTTTGATGTCTTGTATATTTGTCTTCACCCACAGCATTTTCTCTGAGAGGAAGTCCAATTTTTTCCTATATAATATTAAACGGTTTGATTCGGTTTACCTGCTACATGCCAACTCTTGTTTGAATTATTGCAATAATTGTTGTTTTTGAGGCGCTAAGTTCTCCCCGTCTGGCAACCTAAAGCGACAATGTGATAAGGCACGATTACTGATAAGTAGTTTTTTCTCCTTGACTTCGTGGAGAATAGGAAGTACCCGGCACATTATCGTTTGTGGGCCTGAAGTTCGTTTAAGCCAAGGAGACCTACCGGAGTACAGCCGGAGGTACGGGCCGCGGGCCTAAGCGTCGGTCTGTGTGCTTGCGTATCTCCTGTATTTCGTCGTCGTCTTCCGAATCGGAAGTCAGTCTTCGTCGGGGCCCCGGGGGCTAGGCGGGGCCAGACGGGGCTGGTGCTAGCAGGGTTTTGATTTCTGCTTACCGTTTTGTCCTGATCGATCAATGTAAATTTGCTTCACTTGACAAAGTCTTCCCATATCAACGACTGGCGAAAATTTGACAGTACGTTTGGTAGACCTACATTATACACGGTTCGAACGTCCAGCGCACACGTATCCAATTAAACACATTACCATTCCCGAAATACCCATGGTCACAGTACTATAAAGCGTTGATTTCGCGGTACTCTTACGTTGTGCAACGCCGGAATACGTTTTTTGTTATTTAGACGTCGGCGATAGCAAACACAACTGAATCCTCTACAAAAATAACCCATCTAAATATGAGCCTCTACGCGTCCTCGCAATACTCCATGGGCTTCAACCGAACATGTATCACATTTTCGAAGTCGAAATAATACAATATCATCTAACTTTAGAATATCATGCGCCCTGCGTTAACGTCAGAGCAGTATTTATTTTAGGGCGTTTTCCCTGTTATTGATTTTACGCGGTTTAGAAGATGAAGATGCGATCACTGGGACAATGACTTTATTTGCCTGACGTTTCGGATTCTCACTCACATCCATCATCAGAGACATTAGCTAATAATAACGTTTCGAGTGAGAATCCGAAACGTCAGGCAAATAAAGTCATTGTCCCAGTGATCGTATCTTAATTTACGCGGTTTTCTTGACCTTGTAAGTGACATCTCACTTGACAAAACGGATCGACCTTGCCTGGGTTATGCAGTGGAATATTTTAACAACTGCAGTTTGTAGACAGAGAGGAAAATCTTTGCGGCAGCACTGTTTGGTATTTCAATAGGTTGGGCTTTTCAGCTCGGCGTATGGTCCATATCCATTCTGTGGCGGAACCCTCATTTCACCTACGTGGGTTTTGACAGCCGCTCACTGCACTGTTCCGGCTCGTCTATGCCGTGACGCCCCTCGTGGCAAGCCCTTCAGCTATGGGGAATTCACCGAGGATGAACTGGTTGTCCGCATAGGCGACCATAATCACACACGTCGAGGACGTCCGGCATACACTGTCCGAGTAAAACACATTATCATTCATCCAGATTACCCGCCAGAAGGAGCCAGCAAAGGATATGACCTCGCACTTCTTAAGTTGACTCGAACTGTGAAACGCTGTAAGCTTAATCCCTATTTATGAATTTTGCCATATTAGTGTTATTTGCTCCATGTTTGCTCATCATTCATGCTGGTCGAGTTCAGGATTAAGCATATGCATATTTAAGACTTGTCTCTCCAACAAAACCGGGACTGAAACAGTAGGAAGCAAGCGCAAATATACTTGTACCCCGCTAGACTTCAACACAAATTTCTTCCTGAAAGCATCAAGCTAACCAACCATAACATTTACCAAGCCTTAAACCCTACAAAGAATAATTTGGCAATGCACCCATGACCCTAAGACCACATGAAAATCAAATTGTAGTTCTTAATTTCCACTTTTAGATACCAACCATGATATAATTAACTTCACAGAATTACGGTTCGACTGACGGATTCAGATTTCGATACTCCATGCAAATGTTCGCGGCATGATTACATATAAAATGACGACCAAATTAATCTATGATCTTGGCGTTCAAAACGTACTGTAATTACGCATGAGAATTAAAATCACCTTTGTTATAAGGGATTAGACCATTCAAGAAAACCATAAAAGTCAAGTGGATTTGACGCATCGTAAATGTTTTACATTAGGAAAATTCACTAGAGTAAGAAGCATCACATATGTGTCAGCAAAATTCTTAGTCCATCTTTGAGGCCAATTTCATTCTTCTGTTTGCAAAGCAAAATATGCGGAATTTGCATGCCTCCCCAAGACAGGAGAAAAATTTAACGTTGGAGAATTTTGCTACCTTGCCGGCTGGGGACTGATTCCACCACGTCAACCCAAATGGAAACAACCGGATGTGTTAATGGAAATACGAACTCCAATAGTCAAGCCGTCTGATTGCAGGAGAAGTCATACCTCAGTTAACGAAAAGCTCCATGTTTGCACCAGCACTGCATATGGGGTAAGGATCAATTTGAAATGATGTACATATTAATATACAAAGTTTAATCATTCCTTTTTGACAAATTCAGCCCACATGTACGGGTGACAGTGGAGGAGGACTGCACTGTTTTAAGGATGACAAATGGACTTTCTACGCCGTAGATTCCTACGGTGCCGTTAACTGTACAGGCAAGTACAGCGTTTTTGCCCTGACTGGATCTGCGCTCGATTGGATCAAAAAAACCATCGTAACCAATAACTAGAAAATTCTGCTTAGTTTGCATGGAACATTTCGTGCCAAACCTTTCACTGACGTGTGATTTGTCACGTGATTGTTGTTCTACATTCATAAATAAAGAACTGCTTTAAATCTATAACAAATGAGTACACAGATGCAATCAGCAGAGGCACGTTCCAACTTTATAGGGCGACTACTACTTCGAACCAGAGAATCTACAGATTGATGTTATTTTCTTTTTCCATGTTTTTACTTTAGTCTGCTGGTACCGCTGCTAATTTTAGCTGAGTATATCACCCAAAAGAAAAACTGCGTGTGCTAGTTTTAAGTATCGCAGAAAAATGTAAAAAGTCTAGTGAAATAAGCCAGCAAGAGTAAAAGACGAAACAACAGAGTAAGGTTTCCTGAAAATACACTCCGAAATGTGTGGCACGTTTTTATTGGGGGGAACTTTGAAGTAAATGATTTAAAATTGGATGAGACAGTTGCTATTCTGCCTTGATACCGTCATACTAAAGATATTCTTCTCGACATCATGCTACTGTTATCCATTCAGTAAAGAATAAGTGCAACAATTACGCTACTCTGATGATGTAAACGAGTAAGTTTCCGAAACGTCAGTTCGAATACAATATGGTCCATGCATTCGCCCTCTCTTCTTCTTCGTCTTCTTCGGGAGATGATGAACGCGATAATAAGAGGTTTACAGTCGAATGCCACATTATGCCAAGTCACAAAAAATATTTTCAGCCTTCATGCTGGTACTCATGAAAGTACGTATGCTAACTGGCGATTAAATCACAGTGTTTTATTACCGTTTAAAACGAGGCAGAATATGCCCCGACTATCAAAGATGAGAGCTCAGAGGTTGATAAAATGCGTTGGAGTAATGCCTCGCAGGGACAAATTTATTATATTACTGAGATTCCTGGGAGTATGCCAAGTAGATTATTGTCAAAGTGCAACAGAAATTTAGATTATTTGTCAGTCAGTCGTTCATGCATTTTGTTCTCTTTTGGCTGTCTCGGGTTCGAAAATTGTTCTTGTTATCAGTCTAAAGTACAGTAGGCAATTATGTTGTGAAATGCGTTTCCAAAAAGAAGAAGAGTGAGGAGCTTTTCACTGCCCATAGATGCTAATGCACAAACTTCAGGCAAATCTTTCAAAATGAATTTTTTTCAGGTCCGCTCCTAAAATTGCTAGGAAGGATATACTACATTCCTAATGAATGTTCAACATCCTCATCTAAATAAGACGCAAATATCGAAGATTCCGCTCAGAATACTGCGTAGATTGAAGTCGATAATTCGCAAGTTATCCCTCATCTGATGGTCTATTTAGGAAAAATTTGGTCTAAAGTTTGTTATTCGCAAACTTTTCGTCAACCTATGTTCTGATTATCAAAAATAAATGCGCGCAAGACAGCATTTTTCTCAAAAAAATCCAGAATGAGACCAAAATCAACATTGTTATGTACAGTTTGCCTCGGTCGCCTTAGGTCTTGGGGCGTGTTGTGTTTAAAAGTCTCGTTTGTTCTACGACCAATGATTATTCAGAAAAAAAAACTTGGCACGGAAAACAGTCCCAAAATGTCAGTGGAATTATAGCAGCTACAAAGCACGATGCATCCTCTGTAATGTCTTAACGTTCTCTGTATCAGTATCAGTGTATTTCATGGAAAGTAGGTGTGTACTTTGAAATCCCTATTAATTGCTTGCAGAGGAAGTATGTGGAGAAAATGGAATGGAAGTAACATGAAAGTAATACAAGGGGAATAACAACAATTGTACAGATGAACACAGAATGTCATGCGTTAACAGAAGCTAGAGGCACATGAACTCGGTTTGTTGATTAAGTGCAGCAGACAGTTGGATCACACTTAAGATACAGGAAAAGAAATAAAATTATTTTGGTCCGTAGGCATCAGGGTGAATGCGCAAACTTAATAAATTACATAAACATATGTTACTTGAATGTTGGTAGTAGCATCGTCATAGCACTAAATTGTCAGCTTTGGCTATCCAGGTAGCCGTAGTCCGGCGTTATTGTGGTGCGCGCTCCAATGTTGATCTAGCCTCCGTTTAATAGTATCTACGGACCCCGACATACCAACATCCTCAGGCAAGTCATTCCAAGCCGCAAACACTCTGTTGGAGAAGAACTTCCGTGTGTCTATCTGGCATCAGTCACACGCAGTTTTAGTGGATGGCCCCTCAGGTTAGTCGTAGTCGCCAACTCGAAGAGGTCTCCAGATGCGAGACAGCAGCCCTGATTGCGCACGATGCGGAGAGCTTGTATCAGGTCCCCACGTAGCTGTCCGTAACCCAAAGGAAAGAGGTCAAGATTAGCTAATCGTGTGTCGTAGGGTAGTGACCACAGCCCAGATACAAGTTTCGTTGCTCGCCGTTGAACTTTTTCGGGCATGCCGAAGTCTTTAGCGGTCCAGGGTCTCCATACTTGGATAGCAAACTCCAGATGCGGTCACACGAAAGTTTGAAAGACCTTGGCGAAGCAGTCTTCATCAAAGGAGGAGAACGCCCGTTTGACGAGGTATAGAATGGACGTCGCCGACTTGGCCACCTTCAAACATTGCAGCGAAGGGTTAAGCGAGGTTGTGCTCCATGCATCCAAGTCCTTCTGGGCGTCGACTTCTTGCAGTGGTATGTCAGTCAGACGGTAGACCGTGCGGTTAGGAGAACTGGTTCTGCCGACGCGTAGGAAGTTACACTTGTTTAGGTTGAACAGTAGAAGCCAATCTTTCGACCATTGCTCGAGGTGGTCCAGATTTGCCTGCAGTTGCGCCTCGTCAACTTCGCTCCAGATTTTTATCCCATCGGCAAACATTGCGACATCGCAATCCAGTTCGTTTGCGCAGTGATTGACGTGTACGAGAAACAGTGTGGGGCCAAGAACAGAGCCTTAGGGAACACCACCCCTAACGGCAACCTCGGCAGATTGCTGGTTACTGACGTGGACGTGGCTTTAGAGGGGCCGAGTAAAAAGCTTCGAATCCATATCAGAAGCATAGCTCGCACTCCTGTACGATTGAGTTTGTATAGACGGCGGTGGTGAGGCACACTGACGAAAGTTTTTTAAAAGTTGATAAAGGTGGCATGTACTATATCTCTTCTATCAACAGTCCGAGTCCAGTGTTCCAGACAGTAGAGGAGGTTCGTCACACAGGATCTGCCTTTCTCGACTGCATGCTGGGAATCGGAAAGCAGATGGTTTTGTTTAAGCAACTGCATTTATTGTTGCTTTATTATTTTCTCCATAATCTTGGAGCAATGGAGGTGAGGCTGACAGGTCTGTAATTGTTCGCAGAGACCCGACTTCCGCCCTTGTATAGCGGCGTAATCCACGCCGACTTCCAGTCGGGTGGCAGATATCCGGTCTCGAAGGATGTATTGAAAAGCATGGAGAGTGGCTTAGCCAACTCACCGGTGAGTTCCTTCAAAATCTTTGCCGGAATCTCGTCGGCACCTGGTGATTTGGATTCCTTTAGCCTCAGAAACTCCGTCAGAACCATACCCTCAATGAACTGAACGGTCTCCATAATTGTGGTGTCTTCGAAAGGTTGAAGGGCCGGAGGGTTGAATCCTGTTTCGCTACTAAAAACAGACCGAAAAAAATTCTGAAAAGTGATCAGCCTTCGCTCTTTCTTCAGTGAGATCTTCGCCTTCAGCAGTCTTTAGCAGTGATATTGGGTCCTTGTTCCGCGTGCACTGCCTTATGTAACCGTAGAACAATGCCGTGAAGTTATGGAAAAGCAATCCACAGGAGTCGAAGACGAAACGTCGCCTAGGGCCAAATAGGGAAGACTGTGCATATGGTTGGGTTTTTCGGAGAATGTCAAGAATGCAAGGCCTGGAGGACGTTTCAGCTAAGACTTTTTGGTAATATGCCAAGTGTACCAATCTAAGCAGCTCAACAAGCAGTGTAGAAATTATCGACTCAGCCTGCTGCTCCACAGGGACGGCGAACAGTCCGAGACGATATGTAACATTAGTATGCTGTGCTGGCTAGGCTCAGATTGCCAGCAGAATTGGCAGGTTTGTAGAAAATTGTCCTAGTCGTACGATGAGGGCAACGATGACAGCAAGGTTGAGGGTAGCAGGCAACAATGCGTTTTAGAATCCAGTTTCTGATGCAGGACCAACTATTTCCAGTGAGAAACTCGATTGAAAATGTACATTTTGTTCCCAAAAATTCAAACAGCGCGCTCACCTGCGACACATTTCAGAACTCTTTCGCCGGCAGTTACCTGCAGCTTCATATTCGAGCATAAGACTGACTGCTCATTCAAAGTGTGGCAGAACTAAGCTCCTACTTTTGTCTCCCTTCCATGGCAATAAACTTCTATAATCTCGAGAAAGCGCTCCCTTAATTTAACGGTTCCCTCCACTGTGTCTTTTCTTTAAAGCTTTCAAAATTTCATCTGGATATTTCAAGGCAACCTTGTGACCGCCAACGCAGTTTCGTATGAATTACCTTGGGCTACCAGTCGATTTCGTTGGCCATCACTCGACCCTCATCGGAGACCTAATGACAGATTCCTTTGCAACAGTTCTATGTACTTCGTCAACAGATAACCGCCAGATCAATGTTGGCAGGAGAGTAGCTGTAACGGATGATTTTTTTCGCTCACTTGCAAGACATTTTAAAACGCTTCCGCCAGCAGTTATCTGCAGCTTCATATTCGATCATAGGACTGGCTGCGCATCCAAAGTGCGGCAGAACTAAACTCTTACTTTTGTCCGCCTTCCAAGGCAATGCATTTCCATAATCTCGAGAAGGTGTGCCCTTAATTTAAGGGTTGCTTCCACTGAAATCTCCCCTGGGACTTTTATTCAAAGCTTTCAAAATGTCTTCTAGATATTTCAAGTGAGCCTTATGACTGCCAACGCAGCTTTTCATGAACTTATTTTGGCTACCACCCGGTTTCGTTGGCCATCACTCGACCCCCATCGGAGACCTAATGACAGATTCCTTTGCAACAGTTCTATGTACTTCGTCAAAGCCCAGACAGATATCAAACTGGCATGCTCTGCATGACGGGTTCTCTTGCCCCCGCTCATCCCCAGCCATCTGTTTCGCACATGATATCAACATTTTTGTCAACAGCGAAATCCTATTGCTCTCAGTCGCGCCATGGTTCATTCGAAAACTCCTTCTGGCAAACAGTCAGGTGCACCACTTAATTTTAGAAACCTCAACAACAGTACAGTATCCACCCGTAGTGGCGGCGCGGTAACTAAGGCATCCTCTAAGACGCGAACGGTGGTAATAGAGGTTTTAAGAGTGGGGCACATTCGGGATGGCATAAAATGGTCTAAGTCATCCCAAAAATAATGCAAAACATGCATGACTATGGCTTCGATGTATACAGCGTCAGAAAATAGGCGATTTTTTCTATGGAACTCACGGATTCCGTTGGGCCTTATGGGCTCTCGCTCGAGCCCAACCACCAGCCGTACAGCGGCGCATGATATAGACAGAATGGTATTACCGACAAAATAAGGGAGGCTTGAATAGCCATTTCTGGCTGAGTAGTCGTCGCCAGCCAGTCATATCCAACCCCGAAGTTTGGAACACCTGGGGCACGATCCCGCCACCTGTTGGTTAGAGTTCCAACGTCTCTGACCCCTGAGCCACGGATTCGTTGTCCTGTCCGTGGCAATCAGGAATATACTATGGTAGAGATGCGTTAACTGGTCGTTTCTACGGAACTCGCTCGTCCCTTTGTGCCTTAGGGGCTCTCTCTCGCGCCCAACCAGCAGCCGCACAGCGCCGCATGGTATTGGCAGAATCGGCAGGCGCCCTTCTGCCATTGTATATTCCCGATCGCAACCGGCAAGACAGGGAGTCCGTGACTCAGGGGTAAGAGGCGTAGGGCTTCTAGCCCACAGGTCGCGGGATCGAAACCCGGGTGTTCCGCAATTCGGGGTTGGGTATGACTGGCTGCCGACGGCTACTCAGCCATAAATAGCCATTCTAGTCTCCCTTTTCTTTGTCGGTAATACCATTCTGCCAATAGCAGACTGAAAATATAGAAGATTCTGAAGACTTGCCAGGCTATGTCGGTGCGCAACCTCGGTCTGTATAAGCCACACAAGGCTATATTGCGAGGTGTTCGCTCGAAAGCCCTATTGAACGGGACAAAAAAGGCTGGAGGCCAGGGGATGGAAGTAGAGGGGAAGCAGGAGAAAGTACAATGTAGAAAGAGCCAGAAGGCAATGCTGGGGGGTAGGCATATATGACACTGTCCGCAAGAAATCCCTGTTTGAACAAGAAGACGACCAAAGCTGGCCGTCAGTGAGCGCAGTCATAAAAAATGGGGGTGGCGCCTGGCAGCCCGATGGTGACGAACGAGTGGAAAGCGTACACACGCCTGCCATCTGAAGCCTACCATCATCTGACGGTAAATCATTCCCTAAACTTTGTGAGCCCCACGGCCGGTAGGCACCCCAAAACCATCGATGCCTGCTACAATAAGATAAAACGAAAGTTACAAGAAGACCGGTTCGCGGAAAGTCAATATTGGCTCGTCTGGATAAGGCCCAATATCGACTTTGCTTGAGCATGAGAGCGCTAATCTACCTGAAAACTAGAATAACTTCCTCCTTAATCTTGTACACACACATACCCGGCGCGCACAGAAAGCGAGGCCACTATAACAGGAAACCGACGATTTCCAATCCGACAGCCATCATACAAGATTAAAGAAAGTGGGTGAATGCGAATGTAGGGGTAATGACTAGCCGACCCTGTCGGTCAGAAGAAGGAGAGAGGAGGAATGACAGTTGCCTGCTGATGAAATTTTGAAAGCTGCTTGTAAACCAGCCTTTTGTTTTTCCCCAAATGCCACCATGCTATGCATACGAACCTCTACTTTCATCCCCTCCGTATCGACGAATGCCCAAGGGAATTGGAAACCACACTGCTGAGTCGACGAGTACATCGATAATAGGCAAACGGACGTGGGTCGTTCACCATAAGGTCTAATTTAAAGCACAGGATAATAAAAGGGACAATATTGGCCAATCGCATGTGCATCTCAAGCGACAGAGCACATTTTAAACAGAATGCGAAGTTGGTAGTCTAGAAAATCCAATTGTGCGTGAACTCCCAATCACTAAACGTAGTGATTGAGTGCTGACTTTAAAATGCCACTGACAAAAGTTGTGCAACAGCGGACTACAATATAACCAGGGGAAACCAGAGATGTAGCGCAGTCAAAGCAGAGGAAACCCCATAAAAACATGGTTACTCAAATGCCAGCAATAGGCAGGTCGCGAGTCCTCAAAAAAAGGGTAAGCACACTGGTATGTTGACGAAACCTCTCCGCGCTAGTACTTTTTCCATCACTGTGACATCTGACGACAGATGTTAACATAAGAGTCGGACGAACTAACAGGCGTCGCAAGGGAACTCCTGTTTCACAAAAATGAGTGTCAAGTGTAGATTAGTTTCTCAAACTCCACCAGATGATTAGCAGGTTTCAACGGTTGACTGGTGCAGGGGACAGGGAAGGAAGTGTGGGTTCGACTTTGTGAAGACCATCTTTATGGCACATCAGTCCATACCTTTACTATAATAAATTAGATGATGCTGAATCTATCTGGACGCGCTAGATATTGTGACTTGGAAGATTACCAACTGACGGGATAACTTGGCCCCCACGTCCGGCAAATTTTGTATCATGACTGGCTCGAAAACTTGGAGTCAGACTCAATGACTCCTTCTAAGAAGGGTCTTTGTGGCACTCCCATGAATATGAGATCCGGGATCCCTTCTGTGAGACCCCAGTACACGCTGTGGGGATCGGACGGTATGTGGTACGCGTATGGGACAGTTTAGCCTTGGCAAGCATTGCGCCCGAGTCCACTTCCTGCCGTTCTGACATTGCCTTGACAGTGAAGTCCGGAGAGCAGCGGAGGAGAGATTGCACAAGTCTGCCTCACTACAAACTGACTCACGGGCAAGTCATTGGTGTTGCGTTCAATCCGTGGGGCACAAAACGGACGTCGTCGAATCGTCACCACCCACTGCACACTAGATAGTTCGATCGTCGTGTTTGACGACCGTGTTGTGACGATCGACCGTGCGCTCCACGGCAAGTTGAGAGCAGGGACGGTGACTTCCGCTTGAATTGGTTTGTAGTAAGAGTAGACTTGAGCTGCATCCACCGCACTCTCTCCTCCCCCGCCTGGACCCTGTGGCTGAAGAGACTTAAGGAGAGCGGAGGCCGGGGAGGGCGCAGGTAGATGGCACGGTCGAGCCCGTACATTTGCGTTCTACAACATACTCCCTGGTTCACATATATAACCGGCATATAACTGGGTTTTGACCAACAATGGGTGCGAGGTAGGGATACCAGTGTGTGCGACCTCTGCCGACAACCGGGTCCTCCACCGCACCCCGAAATATTGGCATCTGCTATGGTGCGCAATCCGATAACGCCTACCAGAATCCGATATGGCCCTCGTGTTGGTCCAGCGCATCTACCACGTGGCACGTTTGGGGGGCACTCTCTCTCTCTCTCACACACACACA